ATGATTTTAGCAAATGGCTGCAATATAACAAAGAGTGAAAAATTTAAGGGGGTCTGAATACTTTCCATACCCACTGTATATAAAAACAAGGGTTAAATAAGAAGAGACTTCTAACTGTCTGAATCAAGAGGATTAAATAAGGAAGAAATACAAAATGCGCAGAGCAGTGGGTCCCTAGGACTGGAGTTGAGAACCACTGTTGTAGAGGACCAATACTGTACATAGGCTTTTTCACTTTTTGCTGCCCTTATAGGAGGCACCCTCCCCTGCATCCTAAATGAAACAAAACCACAAAAGTAACTAATTTTATAACTGATTTCTACATAAGCAGCATTAATGCCAAGATTACGAGTTTGATTTCCAAGGAATGCATGAACTGATGAAATGCATACCTTGAATGCAATGTGTCACTTTGGACAAAAGCATCTGCCAAATGATTTTAAGAGTTAAAATGACATTGATTTCAAGAGTTTAGTGTTATATTGTTAAGCTAACAATGTGATATTCTAACAAACATAAAAATACATACAGCACACACAAAAGATGAGTAAAATAGTCTATGTAGTTTTACTTAGATTCAGCTATTTTTAAACAATACGTAAGCATATTGGCATGAAAGACAAACACTTTTCTAATCAACATTTCTTATGCTGCCTACCTTTTGAAAATGAAAGTCAGGAGCACAACTACAGTATGATTTCTTGCAGTGCTGCCTGTAGATGACTCATTAGGTATTGGTACAATGCCATTATGCAGTGAAGTTCTGGTCAAGTTTCAAAACTGCATCAAAAATGGATCTACTGTGCAGTCAGATAACTAATTTTAGGACTCTCCAGTACACCATTCCATTTCACATGGAAAAGGCCTCTCTCAAAGATGCACATTTGGGATTACTGAGAGAATTTTTCAAGATTTGAAAACTGATACTTTTGAATGTTAGCGTCACATATACAGCTTCATATGCAGACCTGCCAACCTGTACGCATTTTGCATAGCGGGTACGCATTTTGACCTCAAAGTACGCTGGTACGTTTTGTCACTCTAGCTGCTTCTGTCCATATGAGGGATTTCCTGGAGTGTCGTAAACTCTATTACTTCTGTGACGCACAGTGTTCCCTTACCAAAAAGTAGTATACTTCAAGTTTATTTTAGTAAGTATACTTAAGGAAAGTTCAAGTATATTTTTAAGTATACTTTATGTAGTAAGTATACAAATATCAGTGTACTAGTAGTATACTTGTAAGTGTACTATTTCAATACTCCTTGGGACTAAATTGGCCCACTTTCTAGTATATAAAAGTATACTTTAAGTATAACAGTAGTAAACTTTGAGTACACAACTAGTTTACATCAAAATGTTTAGTTTGTACTGCAACTATACTAAAAGTGAACTTATAGGTATACTGATAGTTTACTAATTAAATACTTGTAGTAGCATTTTTAGTACACTTTGAAGTATAGTCTCAGTAAACTACTAGTTTAGTAGTTTTATACTGCAAGTATACTCGTAAGTTTTCTTTAAGTGAACTTTATATCATACTTTAAGTATACTACTATGTCCATACTTGAATAAACTTATTTTTCGTAAGGGTTGCCAACAAATTATCAGGGGAAGTTGCTAAAGGAAGGTTGATTTAGATTTGTTCGTATAATAATATAAATGCATAATATAATAATATTAAAATTTAAATAACTGTATTTTTAAATACAACATATAATTATTCAACACATTTTTGAACAATTACAATTTAAGTTTTTTTATTAGCTAGTAAACTAGTTAAACTACACATTCTGAACAATTATAGTTTTAAGCAGTGTATTAGTTAGTTAGTATGCTACACTCTAAGAAAAGTCTGTAAAATAGTCTACTATGTTAATATGAAGGAATTTCTGCATTAATTTTTCACAGGTTTTTTACCTGCATTTTAAATTACGCATTGTATTTTGTGTTTTCGGGTTACAGGGTTACAATGGATAACTGCATTTTAAATTACGCATTGTATTTTGTGTTTTCGGGTTACAACAGATAATGGATAACGAATAACGTCCTGGAAAATTACTAGTACCTTTTCCATTTTCTATATATTTTTCTTACCGATCAACAATCACAGGTACAAGCTACTAACAAGGTGTATCACGATAGGTGTGTTTGACTTGAAGGGGCACTGCACAGATCGATCAGTGTTTGACATCAAAGCACCACGAGAGCGATTAGAAAGCATGCAGAGCCATCTGCTCTCAATAGCTCTCACAGTGATAATGAAAATGTAAAAAAAATCTTTCGTCACTAGAGTTACTAAAATTAAGGAAAGGGTGGGGTAAGATGTGCCAGTGAGTAAACTGTTTTGCATCCTTAGTCTGGCACATTGTTGTGCATAATTTCTATCACATGAGCATATAATCAGAAAGAAAAAAAGTAAAACAGGTCAAATGGAGTTTTATGTCCATAGTCACAATCTGACTAAAGATTAGCCATCAATTACTAAATGTAGCATTTTACCCAAAATGCCATTTGTGGGGTAAAGTGTGTCAGGTACTTTGGTGTAAGATGTGTCAGCATCACTTGTAAATGCAAATTTGTCCTTTGTATTTAAAATGATTTTATTTGCAATGCAAAACAATCACATGGATTCAACTTAACATGACTCAGTTTGTGTGCCTGGATCACTTTGTTTATTCAGAAGACATTCATCTATGGCCTGATGTTAAAGATACTTTCTTTAATTTCAGGCAAGTGAAATATCATTTGCTATAACCAGTCTTGTTTCTTTTTGTATAGGGGGCAACTTGAGTAAAAAATGGCACACCTTACCCCACTGGAGGTAAAGATTGAAGGCCAAACCTTGTCGTCTTACCTGTCACAGCGTGAACCCGTGTAACCCGGCTGGCATCGATCGCAGATCACCTCACCTCTGGCATCGATGTGACATGTGGGACTGAAACTACGGTGTTTTTGAGCCAGCAAGGGGACAAAGAGAAAAATAAAAGAGCAGCGAATTAAAAGCATCCTTCCCATTCGTCATAAGTACTTGCTCTGGTTCTAACCGAAGCCAGAGAGAGTCTGAAGCCCAAGATGGTTTAGCTGGTGGGCAAACCCTCTGCAGCGAGGTCAGCTTCTGCCATTAACTCTAGTGTAATGACTGTGCGGCTATTTCAGACGACACTGGAGCCTGGCTGAGGGGCATGCTGGGAATGCTGAGGGCAGGAGGGGAGCGATGCTTTCTTTAGCCCGCTTGAGGATGTGGAATGTTCAGCTGTTAGACTCTGGGACGTGTCTACTCTTTATGGATTAGCCACTAGCATGCTACAGCTAATATTATCCTAGTGCTGAAAACATGTGCCAGTTTCAGAGTTGAAGTAAGAGCATGCAAGAGCTACAAGTCGCCCCTTTAAATGCTAACATGCTAAAAATAAGACCAATTTAGACTAGCTTAAACTGAATTATGGTTTTAGTTGAAAAAGTTGAGTCTGCTACTGGCACAAGATTGTTAAAGGTGATGTGTGCAGTTTTTTTTTTTTTATAAAAATTTTGAAATAGTTTCTCTTCTCTCAGTGTAGTATATAGAGTCATGGTTTGTGTCACACTGCCCTTACGGAAATCAACCATGGTTTTACCACAAATAGAACCAAAAGAACCATGGTTACTATAGTTAAACCATGGTAACCACAAATTAACCATGGTTACTACACTTTTACTACAATAAAACCATGGTTAATTTTCGTAAAGGTGAGTCTGGCACAATCACAACATTGCTCTGTATCTTCTAATATCCCGAACAGCCAAGCATAGCAACATGGACTCAACACTGACTCTATGACTAACCAATGGCAATGTTCAGGAAACCTGTTTGAACACAGCATTTATTTCTTTTGCACTCAGATTTCTCACAAATCTCCACTTCAGCAGTGCTTAAATACACCAAACTTTACAGTATTATCTATATTATTTTACAACAGGTGAAAAAACATGGTAAAAATGTATTATCTGTTGACAAATAATGTCTGTTGACAGTCTGATTTGTGGAGTGATAAAAGGAGAAATCTAATATCTCTGTAAAAAAAAAAACGTTTCTGTAGAAACTGATACGTCAACAAAATCAAACAAGAATTTCGATCCTAGTTCCAATGTTCATATTTCTGTTCTGGAAGTTTATACAAATGAGTGCATTTTTAATTAGATAGTGCTTTATTAGCATATTTAAACATAACATTTCAGAAAACAATTATCTTAATGTACTGTGATTTAATAGCTAGGGAAGTATGATATCTATAAATTATTATTTTTTATTATTTTTTACTAAAGGTTCTGCCTCATTGACAAGCTGTTGTACCACTAAAGGCACATTTTTATACCAATTTTAATACATTTCACATTTGTAGCAATATAAAAAATGACACACTTCACCAAGATTATTGTTGCAGATAAATCTAAAATGTCTGAAACATGCATTATACTGATAACCAGTGATGGTTTGAATGGGACATTTAAGATAGTCACCAAATAAACCAGCTTAGCTGCTCCAGGCTGTTTGTTTCAGCTAGTTAAATACAGACATGCTCAAAAATTAACAAACAAACCAAACACATAACTTGTTGTTGGATAGTTAAAGAGGAGGATACTAGTTACTGTCACTGGCATGTTAGGGAATACCAAACTAAAAGTAGCAGCGTTCTTATTTTAACTACTTTTTTAGCAGCCCAACAGAAGCTCAGCTATTTCCAAAAAGCTTGCTTTTCCAGTCACAGTTCATTTCAATAAACTAGCTCAAAACATGGTTTAAAGGGGTCATTGGATGCTAAATTCACTTTTACATGTTGTTTGAACATAAATGTGTGTTGGCAGTGTGTGTACACATCTACCCTATAATGATAAAAATCCACCCAGTGGATCTGAGCTCGACATCCCGACATCTGAGCTGCTGAAGATGCAGTGGATTACATTTGTTTGTGAAGGGAATGCGCCCCCGATCTACCTAAATGTGTTTATGTTCGCGCGAATCATTCGTGATCCAGCTTCATCTACAGAAGAAGTGAGTATAAGGAGTTTTTTTTATGAATCTTTGCAATCGCCTTTCCTAATAACGTGCTAGTTAGCAAGTTTCGCAGCTAAAGTTTACAGTCTCTCAGATCACAGCTCGCCATCCCACAGAAGAGAGGGGCGGGGTGAGCAGAGCTCATTAGCATTTAAAGGGGCATGCAACAGAACTGGTCGATGTCTGCAGAGCTGATTTTGACAGGGTAAAAAGGGTGTTGTTTTACACTACCATTGAGAAATTTTAACCAAAATATGTTATAGAATTTTCATTAAGACCCTAAAGAATCATATCAACTTGTGGAAAATGGGCATCAACCCCTTTAATGAATATATTTAGTTTCCCTTCAGGAACTCGAGCTGCATTGAAACGCTTTGGGAATGCCCCGGCGAGACCACGTACTGAAGCATGTATGAAATCAGTCTAATAGAGCTCCAATCAGCTCCTCATATCGCTAGACCCAGAAAAAAAGCGTCGCGACCCGTACCCCCTGCATAAAGAGCAGGGGGTGGGGTGGCGTTCTCGGTTGGGGTTCTCTAAACAGAAAGCTTATCTGTGGTCCGTTATTCTGTCAAAGAGGACCTCGGCCAAGCGGTCCTGACAATTCCATCGTCCTGAGAGCAGCCCACCCTGGGGAGGAGAGGTACACACCTCGGTGTACGGTGCCCAATCCTCCTCAGTGCCCTCAGGGAACTTCACTGATACCCCTGCCACCCCCGGTGCTTCAGGGCTCAGTGAGCTCCGACGACCGAATTTCCCAGCTGCCGCCCGGCGACTGTACGGTACGGGAAAGCTCGTCCCCTCAAGTGAGGGCGCTAGAGCAGTCAGGTCGGTCGTTCCCTGCTGGTCATGCGCTTCAGGGCACTGAAGTGGCTCCTCTAGCAACACCAGAGGCCAGTCTTGAGAGACTGGTTCCCTTAGTAGACTTTATGACAGTGTGGAAACTTCTGCCAATTGTCTCACAATGGGTCCTGCACACTGTAGAGAGAGGTTACAGAATTCAGTTCGGTTCTCATCCACCTCGCTTCAACGGGTAATTCCTACATTAGTAGGCCCCGAGCAGGCTCTGGTATTGGAACAAGAAGTAGACACTCTCTTGAGGAAGGAGGCCATGGAACGTGTTCCTCCTCTCTTCGGCCGGTCACTCTCAACCCGCACTTTCACCAAGTGTGTGGATGCTGCTCTGGCTCCACTGCGACTCCAGGGCATCTGCATACTCAACTACATCGATGACTGGTTGATACTAGCTCAATCGGAGCAGTTGGCGGCTCGACATCGAGATGTCATCCTCGCCAATATCAAAGAGCTGGGGTTACGGCTCAACGCCAAGAAAAGTGTGCTTTCTCCACTACATAGTGCCCCCTGCCACCCCCGGTGCTTCAGGGCTCAGTGAGCTCCGACGACCGAATTTCCCAGCTGCCGCCCGGCGACGGTACGGTACGGGAAAGCTCGTCCCCTCAAGTGAGGGCGCTAGAGCAGTCAGGTCGGTCGTTCCCTGCTGGTCATGCGCTTCAGGGCACTGAAGTGGCTCCTCTAGCAACACCAGAGGCCAGTCTTGAGAGACTGGTTCCCTTAGTAGACTTTATGACAGTGTGGAAACTTCTGCCAATTGTCTCACAATGGGTCCTGCACACTGTAGAGAGAGGTTACAGAATTCAGTTCGGTTCTCATCCACCTCGCTTCAACGGGTAATTCCTACATTAGTAGGCCCCGAGCAGGCTCTGGTATTGGAACAAGAAGTAGACACTCTCTTGAGGAAGGAGGCCATGGAACGTGTTCCTCCTCTCTTCGGCCGGTCACTCTCAACCCGCACTTTCACCAAGTGTGTGGATGCTGCTCTGGCTCCACTGCGACTCCAGGGCATCTGCATACTCAACTACATCGATGACTGGTTGATACTAGCTCAATCGGAGCAGTTGGCGGCTCGACATCGAGATGTCATCCTCGCCAATATCAAAGAGCTGGGGTTACGGCTCAACGCCAAGAAAAGTGTGCTTTCTCCACTACATAGTGCCACTTATCTGGGCGTGGTGTGGGATTCGACTACGATGCAGGGACAGTTGTCTCCTGCTCGTATCGAAGCAATTCTCACAGCCATGAGGGGAGTGAGAGAAGGCCAGTCACTCACTGTCAAACAGTTTCAGAGACTGTTGGGTCTGATGGCAGCTGCGTCCAACGTGATACCTTTTGGCCTGCTGTACATGAGACCATTGCAGTGGTGGCTCAGGACCAAGGTCATGCGGCGATGTTTACGTGCCTTACACATGTGAAGGGAAACCTTGGTTCCTGTCTCAAGGCCCGATATTGGGGGCTCCTTGTCGTCGCGTAATGCTAACGACAGATGCCTCCCTCACGGGCTGGGAAGCGGTCATGAGTGGCCGCTCTGCCCAAGGTCGGTGGGAAGGCCATCATCTTACGTGGCACATAAACTACCTGGAGATGCTGACCGTGTTTCAAGCTCTAAAACACTTACTTCCAGACCTAAGGGGACATCATGTACTTGTCCGCACAGACAACACATCCGTGGTCTCCGACATCAACCGGCAGGGGGGTCTGGGCTCTCGCCCCCTTTACAGGCTGGCGCAACAGATCCTCCTGTGGGCTTAGGGAAAGCTCCTCTCAATCAGAGCAGTCTACATCCCTGGGCACCTCAATCAGGGAGCAGACATTCTGTCGAGACAGGGGCTGAGGCCCGGGGAATGGAGGCTCCACCCAGAGGTGGTGGAGCTCCTATGGAGGGAGTTCGGCCAGGCGGAAGTGGATCTATTTGCGTCGCAGGAAACAACACACTGTCCACTCTGGTTCCCCCTCATGCATTCAGCTCCACTTGGGCTGGACGCCATGGTGCAGACATGGCCGAGGCTCTGTCTGTACACTTTTCCCCCGATCGCTCTGCTTCCGGGAGTTCTGGAGAGAGTATGCCGGGACGGGTTCCATCTTCTGTTAGTAGCCCCATTCTGGCTGACCGAGTATGGTTCTCGGACCTTGTGTCCCTCCTCGACGGCCCTCCATTGGAGATTCCGATCAGGAGGGATCTCCTCTCTCAGGCGGGGGGCACCATTCTTCACCCCCGCTCGGAGTTATGGATGCTGTGGGCGTGGCCCCTGAGGGGGCACAGCTCCTAGCATCCGGTCTCTCTACTGAGGTTGTTGAGACCATACTCCAGTATGGCATATGCATTTCTCCGCAGGGTTATCTCCCTCCAGTCTGAAGATATACATGGCGGCCATAGCTGCTTACCACACCCTTCTAGATGGTCAGTCATTGGGAAGACACCCGTAAGTTACACGTTTCCTCCATGGCACTCGGAGGCTGAGGCCAGTACAGCACACCAAGGTGCCCTCATGGGACCTGGCGGTGGTTCTGGAGGCTTTGTGTCCTTTCGAACCCATTGAAGATATCTCTGACAAGCTGCTAACGCTGAAGATGATCTTCTTACTCACCATATCCTCACTGAAGAGGATAGAGGATCTTCAGGCACTCGCTGTATCATGCCTGGTGTTTGCCCTGGGCATGGTTAGGGTGTTCCTTTACTCGAGACCCGGGTATGTCCCTAAGGTGCCCACTTCTTCGCCGGGTCCTGTAGTACTACAAGCCTTTTGTCCTCCTCCCTTCCAGAAAACAGGCCAGGAAAGACTCAATCTGCTTTGATTGACACTTACGTTCACGGAGCTGCCCAGTGGCGTAAGGCAGATCAGTTATTCGTTTGCTTTGGTCCGCCTAAGAAAGGGGCTCCTGCGACTAAGCAAACTATGAGTAGGTGGGTGGTCGAGACCATCACACTGGCCTACGAGTCCTCTGGCCTCCAGTCACCCATCAGGCGCACTCGACTAGGAGTATGGCGGCCTCCAAGGCTTTATCAGTGGGCGTGGCCCTTCAAGATATTTGTGCTGCGGCGGGCTGGTCCTCTCTGCAGACGTTTGTCCGATTTTACAATTTACATCTACTCCAGGGTCCCAGGTTCTCTCGTCTCGGTGTGCTCACCAGATACACACTTGACAGGGACTTGCTCGTATGGCGCAGCGGGTATTCTGGTTCCCAAAGCGTTTAGACGCAGCTTGAGTTCCTGAAGGGGAACGTCTCCAGGTTACGTATGTAACCATGGTTCCCCGAAGGGAAAGAAATGCTGCGTCTTTCTGCCATACTCCCAGCATCCCTGCAGGCGCTCGCTTCCGCAGAAGCTAACATGTGCATTTGCCAGATGCGCTTTTATACTTCCTGGTTGCTCACGTCACCCCGCTCATGATGTCTCGCTTCTCTATTGGACTGATTTCATACATGCTTCTGTACGTGGTCTCGCCGGGGTGTTCCCAAAGCGTCTCGTTCCCTTCGGGGAACCATGGTTACATACGTAACCTGGAGAGGTTTAGTACTGGGTTTATCTCTGTTATTTTGATTTAGTTATACAGTACAATAGTTTTTTTTTTTCTTTTTTACTTGAAACTCTGAATTTAAATTGAGTGTAAGTGAATGTGTCATGGTAATTGAGATCCTCATTGTTAATGTGAAACATAAATATTACTATATCCTCCTGAGACCCAGAAAAGTTTTTTTTGTTTTCCTATGTCATTTCATTGTTTGGAGCATAAGAAATAAATGGGAATTTTTTTTATGAAAACATATATTTTATTGATATTTTATGCTATGCACTATAGGACCTATAGGCAAAAACAATGTTTTTTTTTTATCCACCTATCAATTTTTAGGTTCCAAGCTTCTTTTTTTTTATTGAAAATCTTTACAAAGATGATTCATGTTATTAAAGATATTACAGAATGATTATACTTTTTTTACATTTTCATAAGAATATCTCATATTTGAAAATTAGTCATGATGATATGATAGATGATAATTACAAAAATATGATCATATTTCCATAAGAGTGCTGAATTCAGTGATTCAGTCAATGTCAATAATTTTAAAGACTAAGGAGAGGGAGTTTTCATGGTCAATCCTTCAAACATGAAAATCCAGACTCAAAACTTTGACTAACTGTGAGAAATATGCTAAAATATACTGTCTTCTACAGAGGAAAAAGTCTACGGCTGGGTCTCAGGAGGACATGCATGTAATATAAGAGAACATAATATAGCCTGATAGTTATATACAGTAATAATCTGAAAATACTTTGATTATTGATGGTGTTTATTTGTAGGTTCTAGTGGTCGACCGATATTGTTTTTTTGACAGCCGATGCCGATATATTGGAAAGCAGGGTGGCCGATGGCCGATATAAAGCCGATATAATTTTATTTATTTTAATTAATATTTAAGAAATTTGAATTAATGTTGCTCACGTCACCCCGCTCATGATGTCTCGCTTCTCTATTGGACTGATTTCATACATGCTTCTGTACGTGGTCTCGCCGGGGTGTTCCCAAAGCGTCTCGTTCCCTTCGGGGAACCATGGTTACATACGTAACCTGGAGAGGTTTAGTACTGGGTTTATCTCTGTTATTTTGATTTAGTTATACAGTACAATAGTTTTTTTTTTTCTTTTTTACTTGAAACTCTGAATTTAAATTGAGTGTAAGTGAATGTGTCATGGTAATTGAGATCCTCATTGTTAATGTGAAACATAAATATTACTATATCCTCCTGAGACCCAGAAAAGTTTTTTTTGTTTTCCTATGTCATTTCATTGTTTGGAGCATAAGAAATAAATGGGAATTTTTTTTATGAAAACATATATTTTATTGATATTTTATGCTATGCACTATAGGACCTATAGGCAAAAACAATGTTTTTTTTTTATCCACCTATCAATTTTTAGGTTCCAAGCTTCTTTTTTTTTATTGAAAATCTTTACAAAGATGATTCATGTTATTAAAGATATTACAGAATGATTATACTTTTTTTACATTTTCATAAGAATATCTCATATTTGAAAATTAGTCATGATGATATGATAGATGATAATTACAAAAATATGATCATATTTCCATAAGAGTGCTGAATTCAGTGATTCAGTCAATGTCAATAATTTTAAAGACTAAGGAGAGGGAGTTTTCATGGTCAATCCTTCAAACATGAAAATCCAGACTCAAAACTTTGACTAACTGTGAGAAATATGCTAAAATATACTGTCTTCTACAGAGGAAAAAGTCTACGGCTGGGTCTCAGGAGGACATGCATGTAATATAAGAGAACATAATATAGCCTGATAGTTATATACAGTAATAATCTGAAAATACTTTGATTATTGATGGTGTTTATTTGTAGGTTCTAGTGGTCGACCGATATTGTTTTTTTGACAGCCGATGCCGATATATTGGAAAGCAGGGTGGCCGATGGCCGATATAAAGCCGATATAATTTTATTTATTTTAATTAATATTTAAGAAATTTGAATTAATTTGAAAATTGATTAAAAAATAAATTTGTTAAACATACTTATACTTTAGATGACATAGTATTTTTCACAAATAAATAAATATTTAATAAAAATATAATTAAAAAGGTAAACACTGTAACCAACAGGGCACTCAGTATTCTGGGAAGTTTGTGTGCATTAATCATATTTTTTTTAAATAAAGCAAGGTAACACTCATTTTACATACAGCACACAGTGAAAATGACATGAATATGACATTGGGCAAATGCATAAAGCAGAGCATAATTTAAAATCATGAGTTTAAAGTTTGTCGATCACGCGCCTCAGTGAAGCTGTACTCTCCTCCTGTCCGCATTCAATTCACAAGGACCGACCGTCACGCAGAGAACACGTGATCATGCAGGTCACATGCACACTTCACAAGATCTCACAACTGGATCTGGCTAAGTTTGCAAGGTTTTTGAAATTAGATGTTTATTAGACATTCAAAGATTTGTTTAAATGATATAAATGCGTATTTGCTGAATGCTGACGGCAAACAAGAAAGTATTATAATGTTTGCCTTTCTATTTCTAATTTTATACATTTTGTATACATTTTAATTCCTTTGTTTAACCGTTCTATCTGATAATTAGACAGACTTCTATCCGTATTCTATCCAACAGAGGAGGAGAATGTGAACACTGTGTGTTCAGGCGCTGCCGCTCTCAGAGCCGTCAAAATAAAAGTCCGGCGCGCCTTGAACGCATCGGCCAAACAGGAAAACTGATTGGCCGATATATCGGCCTTGGCGATATATCGGTCGACCACTAGTAGTTTTCTGATGTCATGACTTCTTGATATCAGTGCTGACGTACTTGTTTGATGGGTTCAGAAGAGGACAAGCACATGGCTGACAGTCTTCTGCAGTTCCTCTGGTGGCGTCTCCGTAGTATCCAGGAGCACAATGATCACAGTACGGTCCTACCGTGTGATCCCTACAGCCCTACAACACACACACACACACACACACACATTTACAGACAGACAAACATACATGACTAATGTCAAGAAGAGATGGATGTGTGTTAACATATTTACACTAAGTGATTCTATATATAAAAAGCATGTTAAATGCAAGTAAAGTTTCTACTTTAATGTTTCAGATAACTTTTGTGAAAACAAAATGTCAAAATATAGGTAATATAATATTCATTGTCATTCAGGATAACAGATAAAAAATGAAACAACATATTTTTCTGACTTGTACTTATATATATATAAACGATAATACTAATTTTTATTACATTTTAAATGATTAAACACTTCTTGCTGACAAATGGACAAAACACATTGGTTTGAAGAACAGTGGCAAAAAAATGGTAAAGATCAAAAATGACAATTAATTCGTTTTTTGGGGGGCTACACTGTGATCTTTTAATGTCTTTAATGACTTCTAATGATTCTTGTTCTAACTATGCTTGACAAGATTTTTTTTTAAACTACTGTTAAACTGAATGACATTTTAGTACATGTTTTCTGAAAATCATGATAAAAATGCATGACGGTCATTTTTGATCAGAAAAAAATGTAATCAAAAAGGACAAATTATAATGTACTAAAATAATAAAAATAACAAAAGAAAATAATAAAAATATTTTTTTTCTAAAAATAATAAACACACACAAATAAATACATAAAGCTGCATTTAACTTTTATTGTTTTTAATGCTTGAAACCCCCTTTTTGTCTTTGACCCATAGACAAAGAGTCTGCAGATGAGTAAAATGAAAGCGCATCAGAGCCACCTTAAACTTCCATAAAAAAAAAAATGGAATCATTATCACACATGCAGCTTCTGTGCAACTGTCTAAGTCAAAAGTATCACATACGTTACTTTCCATAAAAAGTAACAATGTAACAATCGTTTACTATTTATTAGGCATTTCACAGCATTGTGATGGCTAACTTTTAAAAGTAACATTCGGCAACAGGTACGCTCACATTTAATCAGTCTTTCAGAGACACACAGTGTCAGACAAATGGATCGGATGGACAGCGCTAGTATTTCATCTGTGAGCGGTAAATACAAATGCACACAGTGATAATCACAGCGCAATCCATCCATCCACACACACACACACACACACACACACACACACACACACACACGCACACACACACCTACACACTCACACACACACACACACACACACACACACACTCTCTCTCTCTCTGCTGTAGTGATACTGTTGTCTGAACACGTTTGTTTGTGTTTGCTATTGTTTGGTAATGTGTCAGTTATGTACTTTAAACATAATTCAATACTCATAGATCATGTGGATGCAAACCTTGTTTGTGTTTGCATACAAATAAACAACCCATTTAAACCCGTGCCATTTACTCTGGCTTTACATTAACACACTCACTGGATGGAAGAGAGAGAACGAGACAGAAGAGAGTGTGCAACACACACACAAACACACACACACACACACACACACACACACAATTAGGACATTTGCATGAATTATTCCACCAATTGTTTATTCAAGAAACTTTTTTTTTTTTTTAAGATGCAGCATTGCTAATGTCTGCAGAGTTCATTTTAGTTCTCATTCTAAAATAGGTAACTAGTGAGGCATAATCATGTGTAACAATGTCAAATTGGTACAACTGACATTCATTAGTATCAGCCTTTGTGTGAAGTGTGTTCCAAAATGACGGTTGTTTTCTGAATATTTT